CAGATAGCTTTTTAGTCAATGGATATACAGAAAACTAAAATGGGATCTAAATGACTGATTTTCAAAAGACTAATTAGACTTTTCCTCTCAAAAGAGACAATATAGTACTTATCTATAAACTAAATTCTATGCTATCTGGATAAAACAAATATTCAGAATGGAGAAAATGTGAAGAAACTAATATTTCTGAAAAGCCACTATTTCCCAAATATTATACTAGGCACTTTCAGAAACATATCATGTATGAACATGTTTCCCAATATATATACATTACAAAATTAACTTAAAAATTACTAATCTAAGCATTTTTACTTCTCAAATTATGATGCATTAAACAGGATCTTCTATTACAGAAAATATTAATTGTTTTTTAGAAGCTATGTTTGAGTATTCATTCAAAGTGGTACAACTATTAAATGTGTTTCTTTTATGGTTTGTTCTATCCAAATGATATGCTGAGAAAAGCATTAGATACACTATGCCATAGCTCAAATTCATGTTAAGTATGATTTATATTAGTCCATTCTTTAGTGGAACTTCATAAATAGTAAGGGTCCACAATGTTCTCAAAATATCCAAGGTTATGAGATTCTGGGGCACTAAGTCCACCTTGGTGGCCTCTTGGTATATGGTATAGTCTCTTGGAGTGAGGAAGAATTCTTTATTATCTCTTTCATGAAGCCTAAGTTGCTCTATGACAAAAAGACAAACACTGTATTACTTTTAGGAGCTCTGATAGCATAGTGCCTAAGGCACTTGACTGCTAACTAGAAGGCTGGTGGTTCAAACCCACCAGCCACTCCTCGGAAGGAAGGTTGGGCAATCCTACTTTTGTAGTGATACTGCCTCGGAAACCCAAGGAGGGGTCACTATGAGTCGGGGCCAACTCACTCAATGGAATATAACAACATATTACTTTTATGAAACAAAAGGAACTCTGGTGATGCAGTGTTTAAGTGCTCAGCTGCGAACTGAAAGGTTGGCTGTTTGAATCTACCAGCTGTTCCATGGGACAAAGATGGGGCACTCTGCTTCCGTAAAGATTTACAGCCTTGGAAACCCTACGGGGCAGTTGTACTAGGTCTTAATAGGGTCACTGTGAGTCAGAATTGACTCAATGACATTTTTTTTTTCCAAATTAATGAAGCAAATATATAGAAACCAAAAGTTACCAGGGGCAGGTGGGAGAAGAAAAGAGGTTTGTGCTTAGAGTGCATTGAATGTATTCTAATGTTGGTGAAATAATTTAGAGAGGGAGAACGACTACACAGCTTGAATAATATAATCAATATCACTGAATTGTACACGTAGAAACTGATAAAATGTTGCATGTTTTGTTGTGTGTATATCACTATAATAAAACAAATCAAAACACACCCCACAAGCAAGCCAAAAAGAAAATAAACAAAACCAAAAAACAACTCCATGGTCTCCTGCCACCACCCAGGTTGCCCCAGGACAGGCTAGGACACCACAGAGCCACTCGGCTCTGGAGACTCTAAGGTAATTTTGAGCCCAACAGCAGGGCTTCCAATTCATGCTGAGCCCCTGAAGGAGCTATTCCACAGGGCTCTTTGAGTAGTAGTTATGGCAGTTCAAATATTCATGAGGTTAAAAGATTGGGACCACACTGTTATGTCAACAGAAGCAAAACTGAAATGTAAACTACCTGCCTTTTCAGCCCTCCCCCAAAATCCAAATTATTAAGGAAAAAAGTCTCCAGAGCTGGATCTCAGCAAGAAAAAACAAAATCCTTTTCTGGCACAGAGAAGGGAAAATGGATTCTTTGATCTGGTTTCAACATTCCTAAATAGGCAGCAATGGAGTGAGACAAGCATGGCTTTGAGCAGTCTTATCACAGAAATGTAGCACTAACACCCACAAGGGTGAGCTGCACAGAAGCAGCATTAACTCCTGCCAGTCCACAGGTCAGATGACATCTGGCTAATGGATGGAGTTGCTCCCAACTTCCTCAGTGCATCATCTATTCTTTGGTTATGGCAATGAACCAAGGAGATATCCAAAATTAGCATGCATTCATTGAGCCAAGAAGAAGAAACCAACCCAACCATTTTAGTAATCTAGATCTCAAATTGTTTTTCTGGGAAATTCACTTAGAGGATATAAAAACAAGGTTCCAGCAAATAAGTCCATTTTCATTAAAAACTTAACTCTGCTCTTTCTGGTTCTTGTTCATCTGCATTAAATCAACGTAAGGAGTGTCTACGCAAAATGGGCTTTCTCTGAAAGGTACAGTGCAGCCCCTTTTTACTCAGGAGTTAGTGCTGAATGTTGGCAACTGTCATGGATTGAACTGTATTCCCCCCAAATATGAAAGGAACCTGACTACCATCAAGAAAGAAGAACCAAGAGTGCAGTGTTTCCCTTGGAACCAGGGTGTCTGCACTGAGAACTTCCTAGACCCAGGGGAAGATTGATGCCAAGACACATGTAGATCTTCAAGGAATGCTGGACCCACAGATGCTGTAAAGACAAAGACCTTCCCCCAGACCTGACAGAGAAAACCTTCCCCTAGAACTGGCACCGAATTTAGACTTCTCTCTTTGAGAAAATAACTTTCTTGTTGTTAAAGCCATCCACTTGTATTTCTTTTATAGCAGTACTAGGTAACTAAGATAACTAAAATACCACTAGACAACTAGGATAACACATAAGGTGAAAATTAGATCGCGCCAGCCTAAACCACAAATGAAATAGTTGCCAAGCACTGAACCACACTATAGGAAAAACACGAATTTTTAAACACTATGTTCACCCGTTTTGGGAACTGAGACCAACTGGGAAGATATCAGATTCACGTCTCACCAGCATGCTCCTCTCAGGACACAGGCTCACTGTATAGAATTGGGTGGAATGGTAGGTAGCACTACTCATACTATTTAAAATTATTTATCTATCCCTCCTCTTATCTTTTTGTTTGCTAAGTTGAATTTAGTCAGTTATAGGTACAATGTTATGCATCTGCCTTATGATAGACAAATTCCATTCTAGGGGTCAAGCTACTGTGGTTTGCAGGTACACTGCTCAAACTGGCAGAGACAGTTATGAGCAGTAACGATTAAAATGAAGCAGGTCCACATTTCTAAGCAAGGTTGAACTTTACAAGGCCAGAGACTAAGTGATGAATATAAGCTTTCCTTAGTCCTTTGACAGTAAATTTTCTTTGTTTACTTTACTTGGACCACCGTTGATAAGCTTGAGAGTTTGTTCTAATATGTTGCTGGTCAAGAGAAAAGTTAGAGAGGAAAAACACAAGATGGGCTTTATCTAGGAAATGTTGACAGAGGCTGCCCAGAAAAGGACAGAAAAAGAAACATTTCTGCCACAAAAAGCTAAACATGCTCATTACTGCGGTAAAGGAGTTCTAAACAGGACTTTGGATAATGAAATATGAGGAGTGAAAAGCCCTTTGTTTTCTGATCACTCAGGAATGCCTATGCAGGACTATGGGAGAGCCAAGGACAACTCAATGAAGCGCCTCGCTGCTCACGGCTGTGTGTCAGGATCAACTTGACAGCTAGGCTGCCATTCCAGAAACCTGAATCATGTTCTTAGTTCAACACAAATGAGTCAGAGGCTAAAGAATGGGGTCTCATGGTGGAACCCCTGAGACTATGGCTCTTAGCTGCCCTTCAGGTCTGGAATTGAAGCCAATTCCTGTGGCTTACAGCCAAACAAAAGACAGGCATATGAGCTAAACATTTACAGTAGGTGTGTACACTCCTTGGAGTGAGCAATCATGGGAGAATAGAAGGGCTGTACATACACAGGGAGACAGCTCAGGGGGCAGGAGTGCATGGAGGGATGGACACAGGGAAGAAGTAACTCTGGAGAGTAAGTGGGAGGGGAGCTGTTACATTGTGGGAAACTGTAGTTAATGTCATGAGACAAAGTGTATGTGAGTGGCTGTATGGAAACTGAATTTGCTCTGTAAACTTCAACCCAAATCACAATAAAAATTAAAAAAAAAAAAAAAGAATGGGGTCTCAGTCCCAGTGGTGGTGATAAACACAGCAATAAAGCTGGGTCTACTATTGTATTAGAGCAAGCATAATGCCAATCACATCGACAATAAATACCCACTGAGAATCCTGCTTTAAGTAATTTTTGTGTTAATTCACTTCATCCTTATGACAAGTCTCTAAGTACTATTTCCCTTCTCATGTTATAGATAGGGGAACTGAGGCACATAGCCTAAGTTACATAGCAAGTAAATGGCACAGTGAGGATGTGCTCCCCATCTTTTTGGCTTCAGAGCCTGTTCATAATATTATACTGTCTCTCAAAAATAAAAAGGATTAATAACCTAACATCTATTGAGTGCTAAGTACAAGACCAGGCCCTCTTCTAACCACTTTACTTGATTATTTTTATTTCACTTGATTATTCCCTTTAATCCTCACATTAAGGACACTGAGGCAAAAAGCAACTCACTCACTTGTTTAAGGCCACCTGTTTAGGAAGTGACTTCTTTAGGTTTTGAACTGACAGAGTCCAGCTCCAGAGTCCTTCACCAAAACCACTCCACCACACTGCTGACAGGACCTTGTCTCATTTCTACAACAGTTGTGGAGGGAGCTGTGAACACTCTCATTTTCTAGGTGAAGGAACTAAAGTTCAATGTGTTATAGTCTTACATGTGGAAATATAGCCGTTATGAAATGGGGCCAGTTTTCTACCCTGGTTAGTTGGACTCTATAGTTTGTGTTCTTGAGTATGACTTACAAAAGATTTACCAGAAGGCATCTTGAACTGGTGGGAACCTTGTCCCGTAAGGCATTAAATGCTCTCTGGGTTACTCCAAACATGAGACAATCAATAACATCAAGGCCTCTCCTCATTGCAGCAATGTTGCTTTCAAAAAGAGAGAACTTTGCCCAACTTATCATCTTCCTCAAATGACAATGAAGTACCTGACACATCTTAGATTCCACTCTCTCCACCCTCACGTTCCCAACAGTTAAATCAGTTGCACTTACGCTTTAAAGGCTGGGAGGTAGGAGTATATAGAAATGCTGCTTAGGTTATAAATAAATGGCAAGTGTTTTCTGATATCTGTTGTGGCCCAGCTGCTAAAAAATGTGTTCAGTAAACCCTGGTCCCCACCTGAAAAGAAAGAAAAAAAAAGAATTACAGTTAACAGACCTCTAGGACAGATATGTAACTTTACAGGCATATGTAATTGGACATTTAAAAACAGGTACTAAATCCATGTTAAAAATAATAAATTTCATGTTATGCTTGTTAAGAATATTTTAAGAAGTAACCATTTTATTCATTAATTAAACAAATATTTATTGGGCACCTACTACATGGCAGACAATGTGCCAGGTGCTAGAGCATTATCAATGAATGAGAGAGATGGTACAATTTTTACCAAGGCCTGGGAAGCATGTTAACACCAGCAAATTGGCACTCAATTTACATCGTTATAAGCAGTGATGAGGGCAGGGAAGGAAAGTATAAGATGCTGTGAGCACAAATAAAGGGAGCTCAAGACCTCATCTCATGGATCAGGGAAGGCTTCCACAAGGAAGCTTTAAACCAAGATCTGAGGGGTGTGTACAAGGTACTTGATTAATGCAGGCAGAGGAAGGGAAAGCAGCTAGTGTTCCAGGAAACCAGCAGGTGCCAAAGACCTAAGGGTACGCAGGACCATGAAACTATGTAAAGACCTGACACGGGTAACTCAATTGCAGAGCAGGAACAGCGCAGAGGTAGGCAGGGGCTATAACACACAGGGCCTCCAAGGTCATGTTAAAGATTTTAGACTTTATCCCAAGGGCAATGGGACAGAAAAAAAGGAAAAGCAAAAGAGAACAAATTGTGATGACGGAATTGTTTAATTGGGGCCCCAACTATTAGACATCAGCCAAGGTCTCAGAAGGCCATATTATTCTGTGGTCTACTCTCCTACTGTAACAGATTAAGCCTCTGAGCAAACCAGGTCCATCATCACCGTGGGCAAGGTTAGCTCCTAAGTACACATGTGCTTGCTCAGCCCTTGGGGTTCCCTGGACTTCATGCCTTCCCCAGGAGGTGAGGACCATGCTAATTCATTAAAAAACAAAACAAAACAAAAAACCCACAAAACCAAAATCTGGAAAGTTAAGTGTCATAAACATCCAAGTAACCAAACATTTCCTATGCCATCTTGAAACATATTCCTCCATGTAGTTTATTACTTTCTGTTTTAGACTCCTAAGATTTTGGAAAACACACTGAGAACCATTCTCCTCTGCAGAACAGCACCTCAGGGTGTGTGTGTGTGTGTGTGTGTGTGTGTGTGTGTATACATGCACACACATATGTATGGGGATGGCAAGCAGAGAGAATCTTACTTTTCCTAAGGGAGGCTGGCATGCGCTACAGTCACTGCCCTCCTCAGTCTGCTTTGTCCTGATCCCCAGTTTCCTTCCTAAACATACAGCAGGTACAATTAGTTTACTATTCAAGTTTTCTTGGCTTTAGAAACTGTTAAAAATCTGGGAGCTTTATTTAATATTTTGAGTTAAGTAGTAAGATCAGGGCTTTAGATTTAAAGCCCAAATATAGCTTATCCACTTTCTGTACCATCCCCTATGTCATCCCTCCCAATTACAGATTGAGTAAGCTCTCTGCATAAGGGCTATCACAGGTCCCCATCCCTCAGGGACAAATACTCAGGGAAAACCAAGGTTTCACTCTCATAAGTTCCAAACAGACAATAACAATGGCTAATTTTCACTCTTACGAAGACAAATGGATAGTGAGAACAAAATATTTTAGCTATTTAGAAATATTAATGTATTTTGATACACAAAACATTAAAGCCAAAACAGTATGCCCTTCATCAAAGGCTTACTTCAGGTCCTACAAAGATATTCCAAATGTGGGCATAGACAATGGAATAAAGGTGGCTGAGGTACAAGGTCTGAAGTCTTACTCATTTGCTTTTACATGTAATCAGAAAAATAAAGGCTAAGTAAATGTTAGTAGTGGCTTTTCTTAATAGTCTATAACTGGAAACAGCCCAACTGTCCTTCAATGAGTGAATGAATGTGGTATATCGATACCATGGAATAGTACTCGTAATAAAAAAGGAATGAAGTGCTGATACACACATCTTGGACTGATGTCAAGGGAATTATGCTGAGTGAAAAATGTCAATCCCAGGTTGCATACTGCACGATTCCATTTATAAAACATTCTTTGAATGACGAAATTATAGAGATGGAGAACAGACTCCTGGTTGCCAGGGGATATGGAGGAGAAGGAAAGAAGGTGGCTGTGGCTGCAAAAGAGTATCATGTGGGATCCTTGTAAAGGAACTGTTCTGTCTTGATTTGGTGGTGGTTACACGAATCTACACATGGGATAAAACTGCACAGAAATACATACACACACATATGGCAAATGAGAACATGTAAGACTGGTGAAATCTAAAAGTTGATGGGTTAGATCAACATCCTGGCTGTGATATTACATTATAGCTATGCAAGATGTTACCACTGGGGGGAACTGAGTGAAAGGGTCTCTCTGTATTATTTCTTACAAGAGCATGTGAAGTTACAACTCTCTCTCTCAAAAAAAAGTTTAAATAAATAAATAAAGAATCTGAGAATCAATGTGATTAAAATGCAAAACATAACCAAGAAACTATTGGTCACTAAACCAAACAAAAACTAAACTCACTGCCGTCGTGTTGAATACGACTCATAGTGACCCCTCCTTGGGTTTCTGAGGTGGTGTCTCTATGGAAGTAGGTTACCCAGTCTTCCTTCCAAGGAGAGGTTGGTGGGTCTGAACTGCCAGCCTTCGGGTTGCCTTCGGGTTAGTAGTCAACTGCCTTAGGCACTATGCCACTGTTGTTGTTGTTGTTATGTGCTGTAGATTTGGATCCGACTCAGTGACCCCTCCTTGGGTTGCCGAGGCAGTATCACTACAGAAGTAGATTGCCCAACATTCCTTCTAAGTAGTGGCTGGTGGGTTTGAACCGCTAGCCTTCTGGTTAGCAGTCAAGTGCCTTAGGCACTATGCTACTAGAGAAATTTCACAAGGGTAAGGGTGTGGCTTTTTTTTTTTTTTTGCTTACCTCAGTATCTAGCATGCAGAAAAGCCTTTCATATAAACAATTATTTGTGGAATTAATACAAGAACCTTAATGATATTCTATGACTGCAGAAAAGTTGAAATCACTTAAATATCCATCCATGGAGGAACGGTTGTGCACTATGATATGAACTGTTGACTAGTATATTATTCAGCCATTAACACTAATAGTTATAAAGACAATAAGCCTGCTGTGTAGAAAAAGATAAACAGCTACTTATGTTGTGATTATAACTTAGAACATAAACATTAATAAACATTCACTTTGGAAGAAAATAAATGGGGCAACAGTGACTTTGCTAGGATACTGGTGTTATACATGTTTCCTTCTGTCATTTTTTCTTAAGGTTGCAATATTATTTTTTGTCATTTAAAAATATTAATAATATAACTAGGGGCAGGGATGAGAATTGTACTAAGGACTTTTCTTTCTAAACATTCTTTACGTATTGATTTATTCTTACGTAATCTAGTTAAAAGCTTGGAAACTGCTATCAAAGATGCAACTATTGATCTCTCCTCATCAAGAGCAAAGAAGAGTGAAGAAAATTAAAGCTGTATGGGAACAATTAGTCCAAGGCACTAGTGGACTGTGGGAACCTCAGCCTACACGACTGAGACCAGAACAACTAGATGGTGCCTGGCTACCATAGCCAACCACTTACAAAAGGATCAAAATTGCAGATTCTAGATAGAGTGGGAGAAAAATGTGGAACAAAACTCAAAAGGATGAAAACTCACTGTTCTGATACAGACTGGTGAAATCCCTGAGACTGTGGCCACTAATCACCCTTCAAGCCTGCACTTGAACTCACTCCCATAGCTTACCTTTCAGCCAACCAACAGATAAGCCTATGAGGTGAACAATTACATCAGAGAGATGCACTCCTTAAAGCAATCAACCTTGAGAAATCAGAAGGATAGCACTAGCACAGGCAGAAAGCTCAGAAGGCAGGAATGAAGGTAACCAGAGGGGAAGTGGGAAGGGGACAGTTACACTGTGGAGATTTTAATTATTGTCACAAAACAAAATGTGTATGAACTGCTAAAGTTCAAAACTGACTTTGTTCTGTAAACTTTCACCCAAATCACAATAAAAAGTTAGAAAAAACAAGTAACCTATATAAATAATATTAATATGAAATTCTATACATCCAGTATCCAATTTAATAACTTGAATTTTACTAACACTGTTTTAAGTCCATTGTGTGGGCTCCCCAACCTGATCTCTCTACTTAGCCCTCTCCCCCTAGGTAACTACTAACCATGAATTCAGTTTTTTAATTGTCTTGCTTCTTTATTTTACCACATTTGTATGTATCCCAGACAACATATGTCGTTCTGCTTGTTTTTGAACTTTGTAAGATTAAGCAGCACACCATTTTTTCCTATATGTTTTTTTATGCCATATTATAAGACCTTTTTTAATTTAAGCAATTCCATTGTACAATGACTACTGGCCGCCTGTAATGCAGTGAAGAAATGCAATTCCATGAAGGTCAGAATAGTAGTTGTAAGCAGAGCTTCCCAATTCAACCACCATGAGACTGGAAAACAGGAGTCAGAGATTTTGATCCCTTAAAGTCCCTGGCTAGCTGCCTCTGGCTACACTAGTCTGCTTCCGTTTGCCCTCAGGTACCCTAAAAACATTGGCAGTCTAGCATCTGTGTGCCATGGGAAGGCTGAGAAGCAACCACGATGTGGAAGAGAAAAGGCAGCAAAGTATACATGTTGAATCAATTAAAAAAAACCCAAACCCAGTGCCACTGAGTTAATTCTAACACATAGCAACTGCCCCACAGGGCTTGCAAGGCTGTAATCTTTAAGGAAGCAGACTATCACATTTTTCTCCCATAGAGGGGCTGGTGGGTTCAAACCTCTGACCTTTAGGTTAGTGACCAAGCACTTAACCACTGTTTCATAATCAATGGTGCCATTGAACTGGCAAATCCTTAAACACTCAACAAAAACCTTGCCTCTAGAGGGGGCAGTAGAGATCATGAAACTACTATGGC